GGGTCAGAACCCTCACGTTCTGACCCACGAACGCTTATGCTCCCAGTACTTCTGTTAGTCTCAAAGGTGCCACAGGACCCTCTGTTGCTTTTTACAGATTCAGACTAACACGGCTACCCCTCTGATACTTTAAAAAAGAATCAGTGATCACAGCACTGTGTGTATTTGCCCATGTGTGTAAGAAAGAATAATGGAGGGAAAGCATATATATAAGGTAAGAGAATTTCACTTTCAAGCTTTCAAGAACTTACTGTAAATAGCTAGCACATGCCTTGTGGGAGTTCCATGCATTTACTCCAAGGCTACTGCTCTTTTGCAAACACAACATTTGTCACTGGCCAAGGCAGGTGATGTGAATCCCAGCTGATCAAAACTACTCATGGCAGTGAGGCACTCCAGTGAACCACAGGAAGAGCCAAAGACTCACCTCTGCTTCTGGAGAAAATGGATGCCTCAGCTACCTCCAGAGTCTCACTGATACCTGGACTAGTCGTGGTGGCCCGGCATTTCAGGACCAAAGTAGTTACTGAAGATTCTAATGGGTAGAATTTGCCCAGGCAAAAGAACAATGAAGACTAGATAACATGTGAGAACACCTTTGTCTCAGTTCCCATCTGGGATGTCTGGCCAGGTAAATTCATCAAGCAGCACTACCTCATCCACTTCTTTGGGGCTCTATCAAGTGAGATTGTGATTGATGAACAACAGACATCCAGACTAGGCTTCTATATCCAATAATTCAGTCATCATTGGCACTTACTGCTTCCCCTGCCAAAGGCACAGGGAGATCTGGGAGACTGCACAAGACATTCCAGAAGGGGCAAATTGATCTTACACAGAGAGGGGAGGCCATGCTGCTTTCTTTCCAAAAGTTGGCAGGTATGAAAATCATTTAAAGATTCTGAACAATGCCTTCAAAATATCCTTTTATCAAGCCACAGAGCACAAATAGGATGTGATAACTCAATATACATGCATGGTTCTGTAACTGCATAACATTTTACTTGTGAATATGCATGCAACTGTATATGAGTAATGATAAGGTTATAGTTGCTAGAGCTGGAAAATACCAATTTAGATAAATGAGATCATTCCCCTGCCAAGAATAAGATATAGTCCCCCTCAGAGGATGTATCAGATATTAGACTAATACACTTAGCAGTATGCAGCCACCTTCTAAACACAGAAACCATTAGAAACACTCCCACTTTAAGTTGTACTTGCTATAAAGGATTCTTTGAATACCAAAAGCATCTTTTTGTCAGGAAGTGCTTTCTTTATACCACACCAACGTTTTAGACTTTTGATTGTACCTGATTTAGGTTTTCATGCTTCCGCCGGCACTCATTCAGTTTCACCTGAAGTTCATTTTCTTGCTGGGACAGTTTTAGCTGATGTTCATCCCAGAGGACAATAGCTTGCTGGAAATATTTGTACAAGTCTTTGCAATCCTGTTCAATATGTTTAGCCAGATCCTCAAAGTCTCTCTAAAGCAATCAAACAGATAGAACAAATTATCATTAAATTATTATTAGACTATTATCTGAGAGTAGAGATGCATGAGTAGTAGGGGGATAGCTGACTTGCCACGACTGCCTAGAGGAATCCTACAGTTACCTGATAAAGCAGAAGGTATATCAAGAATCAGAGAACACCATCTTTTTTCATGTCACTACCATCCATTCTGTTCTTGCAACTGTGCTAGTGGGAATTCCATTCCATCAACAATATAATTTCTAGCAGCACCACTTAGGGTGACCAGACAGCAAGTGTGAAAAATCGGGACAGGGGGTGGGGGGTAATAGGAGCCTATATAAGAAAAAGACCCAAAAATCAGGACTGTCCCTATAAAATCGGGACATCTGGTCACCCTAGCACCACTTTCAATGACATATCAGACAATTAGAAGATAGCACCACAATGCTGTTTGGACGGGGGTGGGTAGGTAGTAGTCCAATACCTACTTTTCAGAAATTGGAAGCCCTTAGATACCATGACAAAGAGCAAGGCATGAGAACCTGGAAAGGTATTTAGAACCCCAGAGTGTGAAAGAACAACTGCACAGCCTCTGAATTTGAACTACTCTTTTTTCCTTTCTAGTCCTGTAAATTCAGTGAACATTTTTCTCGCCACTGATAAAATCTAAAACAAAGTGCCAAAGTGGATGAGCCTTGTACATCACTTTTCAGATTATGATATTTATAACTGATATCAGTATATGTACTATAATATTTTATTATTCCAAAACAATGGATGGAAAAATAGCTTTCTAACATCTAATATTCATGTGTAAATACATCAAAATAAAACATATACATATGGCTAAAACTCAGATCATTTACCAAACAAAAAAATATTCACGTCATCTATCGTTGGTGGATAGTACAAGGAAACTCACCTCTTTTCCCATATACATTAGCACAGAATTAGCACAGGTTAAAAACAATAGCTAGTGTAAACAAATAGAAGAGGCCAACAAAATAATAATATTTTGCACTTTACATTATGTTCCATCTTATGATCTCAAAAGGTCACGCAACAAGTCAGTGACAGAGTCGGGAATAAAAACTAGATTGTCCAATTCCCAGCTAGTACTTCAGCTAGAAGTCCATCCATCCCTCACAAGAGCAGCAACCACAAAGTGGAGCTCTGCATGAGCCCTGAATCATTTAGCCATCTGGAACCTGGAGCACAACAGGCCAGTTGTTTTCATATATAGTCATTGTAAAAATAAAACCAAAAGTTATGAACTATCATTGAATCGCCTCAAGCGTCTCTACAGGATAAGAGGTCAATTATATCATTGCACACTCTCTAACAGGGCATCAATAGAATAATGAAACGAAATGTGAAATTTTAAACCATCACAGACTGCAGGATAGATATTAGATTTGACTATTCTAAGGATGTAATAAAAAGAATGGCCTTAGAAAACGTACATCCATCTGTTCCAGCTCCTGTTCAAACTGACTCTGCAGCCTTCCAACCATCTTGAAGAAGTCAGGATTCACAACTGTTTCAGCCTCTTTCTCTGTGCAAACTTTTAAACTCAACAGTTTATTCTAAAGGAAAGGAATATTATGTTATTGACATGTACCTGGTATGCAGTGTTGTTGTAGCCGTGCTGGTCTCAGGATATTAGAAAGACAAAGTAGATGATGTAATATCTTGTACTGGACCAACTTCTGCTGGTGAGAGAGACAAGCTTTTGAGCTACACAGACTCTTCTCCAAGTCTGAACCAGAAGCTCTATGTAAGCTCAAACACTTCTCTCTTACCAACACAAGGTGGTCCAATAAAAGATACTACCTTACCTACCTTGTCTCTCTAATGAACCTGGCATCCCAGTAAACATGTTGAGGTTAAACAAACTCTGTTGAACCATGTAACATGCATTCTTTTCTTTTGAACTGGTAGTTTTAGAAATAAATATCCAACTTCAGTATCTTTTCCTGAAGAAACTCTAAGTGGAGGAAAAATTAAGCTGGGAATAGGCAGTGGGTGTGCAAGGTGAGGGTATATACCCCTCCCACAGGAAGAGCACTAAGTCTTTGATGACATACTGTTTATAACAATCAGTAATAGTTTCAGAAAATGAATGCCTGTGATATTTGAGTCCTGTGATTGAACTGTAAATACTAGAAAACTGTAAATAATCGATGCTTTGTATTTACACATAGTCTGTAATCCAAAGCTCTCAAATCCCTTTACAAATGTGGATTTAAGCCTCAAAACCTCTTTATGCAGCAGGTCAGTAGTATTATCCCCATTTTAAATATGGAGAAATTGAGGTACAGAGGTTAAGTAATTTCCCCAAGGCCACAGAGCAAACCGTGGCCATGCTGGGGTCCTGACTCTCAATCTCCTAGCCTAAGTAGTGGACTCTCTTTGTAGGCCAAAAGCCTAATGGGGAGAAACTGTCTTGAGTAAATTGTATTCCATTTTGCTTATTTTGCTTTATACCCCATTTTGCTAGTTTTGAATTAGTAAGAAGAAATTGTTCTGAGTTTATTCTTTGCTGATTGTGTTAATGATTGTTCTTAGAAGGACAGAAGTTTTATGGCTGTAATTATTGCCTTATTTACATTTGGTGTGTGAGTGAAAAACGTATGGTATACTGAGTAACTGAGAAGAGACAGGTGGGCCGGATGGTCAAGAAGGGCGTGGAGAGGCACCAACTTTATTATCAGAATCACCCAGATGGCAGATTGATGACTCTAAAGCAAAGGCATACATCCCAGGGACAAGATAAGGAGTTGAGCCAGAGGGACAAGATAAGAAACAGCTGCGGATCCTCCCGGTAAGCAACCTTGAATACCTCGTGAATGACAGCTCCAGTGTAATACAGCACGGTCCATAGACTTGTATGGGAACTTATTACTATAAAAGAAGGGTTTATTGCCATGGGACTTTGGGTTCTTTCTGCATCAACATCGGAGCTTCGAATGTGTTCAACAGAGGCCCAGCTCCCCTCCCTCGTGTGCAGTTTCAGCTGGCCACTGGAAGTGACAGAGCAACACTAAGGATTGGTGACTAAGATCCAGCTACAGAATCTTTTGGTGTGTGCGCGTGCATGTGAATGGAAGCATATGCTGATTTTAATGCTTAAATTGTACTCTCAATAAACGCGGCATATTGCCTTATCACCTTTAAAAAGATTCCGTGTGATTCTTATAAGCATAACATCTTCCCTCCACTAAATTAGTATTTGTTGCTGCTATTCTACATGTTCCAAATACAAATGCCACGTTATTGTGAAGAAAAGTACACAACATCGTTTTGACTAACAGGATGAAAGAGAACTTTGTGAGTAATTTGGGTTGTCATGCTGAAATAGTGGGTCTCAAACCAGACATTATACTGGATGATCTGCTGCTACCAAAATCCTTCATTGGGTCTCCAAATTCAGCAACTTTCATTCTCATGACACTGACCTTGCATAGCTGTACATTGTCCAAACATTCCTGGCAAACTCTCTCATATTGGATGCGAATTATCATCATATGTTGCACATTATGGGTGTCTTTAAAAAAGAAGGAAAGGAAATAAGAGTCCAGTGTGAAGACTTCACCATTTCACATTGTAGCACATGTGAATATGACTGAACATTTATGTCTAGCCTCACTCTACCCTAGTGGCATGCTTGACTCTCATGTATGGGCATTACCAGCCTACACCACAAGGCTGCCTCTACCCAAATTTTTTTGCCATTATGCTTAGTAATGGTGAACTGTTATTTTTATTACATTCTAACACTGTCTGTGCTGCTAAACAGGCTACAAATATCAAAACAGTTCCTGCCTGGAAAGTTTATAGTCTAGAAGACACACATATAGAAAGACAAGGCATACTGCAAAAATTAGAGGATGGAAACACTTTAGATAATTTTTTTTCTCATTCTAAAGAGAAAAAAACCTGAGAGACCAAGATCAGGATAGCATATGTATGTACAGACACACAGTACAGTTCAATCATGGCCTTAGAAATAAAATGATTGCTTAAAACCCAATTCATTGTCGTGAATTCCTTGCTTACCTATATACTTGTTTAAAGCCACAAGAGATTCGTACCATTCATTTATCTCAGCTTTTGAATGTGTCGGAGGCAACAAATCACTATCAAAATAGGAAACAAGAGACACAATGTCATACATAATCCATTCCAGTTCTCAATGGGTTAAAACTGTGAAGTAGTATAATAGCACTATTGTTTTTCCACATTTTGTTTGTTAGAAGACAGATTTTCAGCCAAATCAGCAAGGCAAAACCATAGAGATGCCTGCAATTTCTGCAAAAAAGCTGCCTTCTGGAAAACGGGTGAATTGTTATCTGTTTAGTTGCTATATTAATTTTAAAATGAAAAGGAATCATTACTTTAAAATTACAATATTTTAATAGGTTATACACATAGCAACTTTTCTGGTTTAGAATGGAAGGTGTCCCAGATATACAGTATGAGATTTCCTTTGTCTCCTCTGCTGATTATTTACTATATACTAAATTCTCACGCCATTCCCAAGAGAGGCACTCAAACTTTTCAGTCAGGCCAAGTTAGGGTTATGGGATTTTCACCTACCCATTCATCCTGACTTGCCACTATTTATACTGTACTTTCAGAGCCACTGATTTCTCTTCTTTAGAGTTTTTACATCAGGCTTATTCAAAGAAATTTGGGGTCTGATAGATCATATTCGCTAGGTGCCCACCCCCCTTCCATTTCACTTTATCTACATGGATGTTACAGACATTTTGGGGGCCCGAGCTCCAGTCCCTGGTACAATTGTCCCCCCTTCCCTCCTTCTTATCATCTCTGTACATCACTACTTGCAGCTACTTGATGTTGCTAATAATGAAACATTTAATGACCCCTTCATTCAACACAATCTGCCCACTGAAAACCATGAGCATCACCTCACCGGTGAAAGATAAAAAGAAGTTTGGGGGCTCATTTAGTACTGTGTTGGTCCATTTTACAGTGGTAAATCAGGTGCATTATTCACTGTAGCAAGAAACATTTTTTCTGTCTCTCGCGTCATACCAAAGTACTTGCAGAAGCTCCATTCTCTTTCTACTAAGTGAAATCTGGTCCTTTATCATGTTCTCCAAGTCTCTTTTTACAGCTGTGGGTTCCTTTACCTCCTTCCTTGCCATAAATTCTCTGCAGGACACAAGTAACCATTTAAATAAAGATATGTTTGGGACAATCTGTATCTTGACATCTAAAAGTTATTTTGAACCAGATAGATTTAACCCCAGTCACTAAAAAGGAGCATAAATGCCAACATAATTCCTTGAACACTGTTAGCTTTACAAAGAGAACAGAATCAAAGATTATTTTGTAACAAACACAAATGGGGTCTTGTCATTTAGTTTAATCCTACTAAAAATATAATCTGTTGCAGAAGTATGGACCTGAAACTGCGAACCACATAGTCCTTCTGTATGATTTTCCAGTCCTTCAGCCTCTCTTGCCACTTGAGCCATTGAGACAGCTCCCTCTTCAGGTCTGCCTCCATCAGATTAACAAACAACTTGGCTATTGCCCTCTGATTGGCTAGGAGGGCTTGGTTTATCATCTGTGTATTAGAAGATACAAAGAGGAATAAAGGGCAGCACAAAGCATACAAAAATTTGACAGCTATTGTTTTTTAATCCAGTGGGAAAATGAGGAGTATTTTGTACAATACAGAACACTCCTCCTAAATTGGGATGACTGATTTGTTTGAAGAACAGCACTGAACAAATCAAGAAGTCACAGATTCAGACATAGCACAATAATACCCATATGCAATTTGAGAGGGTTTTAGACTTCCTCTGAAGCACAAGGTATTAGACAGTGATGACCTTGTCTACAGTCAGGAAATCTCCCATGGCTGTGGAGCTGCAACAGTGGGAGATTTCTTGAAAACTTCCATCTTAGGCACAGCCTTAGAGGCAAGATACTAGACATAATGGCCCAGTTGTATGATCCAGTAAGGTAAATGCTATAAATATAAAAATATGTTGAAAGAAAAGCCTTCACACAATATGCCCAGTTGAATTACAAGAGTAAGCAAATGCTCTGATTTTGATCATATCGCTGTCAGCACTTAGCTTGAGGGAACAGTATATGTTAAAAGTGAAGGATGTTTTCTTTCCCTAATAGACAGTAACAAGGTATATAAAATGGACCTATATATTTCAGAATGGAATGATTTGTTGAGTACTGGAAAATACTGATGTATGTCAGAGATAAGACAGCACCTGCATGGAGGAAACTGCAGGTGAAAAAAGTTATGAGAAATGATGATTCAGCTCTTGTATCTTTTCATTGTTAAGGAGGTATGATAAGTTTGAAAGAGAGGTAGAAAAGTGACTAACACTTCCAGACTGAAAGAGGAAGAAAATTAATCACTCCTTACAGTACACAGGGAATATTCCATCTTGCTACTTTCTCTATAGCCTCTCAGACAAATGAATGACTGCATATATCAATATGAAAGATTTACCATTGCTTCAGTATGTATGAACCTGTGCACATCAGAGAGTGAGAGATAAGAAATATCCTCCAGAATCTTGGTATATTTCCTCAGTAAATCTTTTATCTGGGAAACCAAAGGAAAGAGAAAAAGAAAGAGCCCAAAAAGTCAGTATTTCTTAAGATAAGTGATCTGAAATAAGACATAGATGTTTTGTTTCTTTAAAAAAAAAAAATTCAGTTGACTGAAATACACAGTCATAGCACAGATTCAAAGCTGGATGTATGACTTAAAATAAAACAAACTATTGTATTTTTCTTCTAAAATGTGATACCGTTAATAAAAACATGGCTGTATCAAACATTTTAGTAAGAATTACTAAAATCAACTGCTTCTTAATATACGTCACCCTTTAGATCAGTGGTTCTCAACCAGGGGTGTGTGTACCCCTATGGGTACACAGAGGTCATCTGGGGGGGGGGGAGGAAGGGGGAACCATCAACTCATCTAGACATTTGCCTAGTTTTACAACAGGCTACATAAAAAGCACTAGCGAAGTCAGTACAAACTAAAATTTCATCCAGACAATGACTTGTTTATACTGCTCTATATACTATACACTGAAACAGAAGTACAATATTATATTTCAAATTGATTTATTTTATAATTCTATGGTAAAAATGAGAAAGTCAGCAATTTTTTAGTAATAGCGTGCTGTGACACTTTTGTATTTTTATGTCTGATTTTGTAAGCAAGCAGTTTTTAACTGAGGTGAAACTTGGGGTACATAAGAAATCAAACTTCTGAAAGGGGTACAGTAGTCTGGAAAGGTTGAGAGCCACTGCTGTAGATCACTGCAGACAGGTTGCAAGCCAAGTCAAACATTTGAATCAACTTCCTGTTAGACATTTACAGCCAAATCTCAGGCCCCATTTAAACAACAACAGCACTGGGCACACAAGCCTCTTACTGTTGTATATGTGTCGCTAAGGCACAGGACTGGAAGTCAAACAATCTGAGCTGTATTTCTGGCACTGTCACAACCTCCTGTGTGGCTCTGGACAACTCATCCAACTCTCTGATCCTCAATTTACCCACTTGTAAAATAGGAATATTATTCCCCCGTACATCACAGAGGTGTTGTGAGGAGATTACCTAAATAGGGATCAGAAAATAAGGCACTTATTTGTCCCATTAGTATAGCATCTGAGCACTTCATAAGTTTTAATGTATTTATCCTCACAACCCCTCTGTGAGATGGGGAAATACTAGTATCTCCACTTTACAGACAGACCTAGGACCCAGAGAGAATAAGTGACTTGCTCAAGAGCGAAAAGGAGGAAACTGAAACTAGGCCTTCCATATCCCTGGCTTGCGCCCTAACCAATGAGTGTTTTCTCGCTAAACACTTATACCATACTTTTCATCTGTAAAAGATACAATAGTATCTTTTAAAAAAGCTTTGAAAAGATGGGCAATATCATTATCTCCATTTTACTGATGGGAAAAGCGAGGCACAGAGCAGTTTCATGGCTCATAGGTAAGGCGCTATATGCCTGATCCTGATACATGCAATGACTTTTTATTATGAACAGTATTGTATTTCATATTTTGATACAGTTCGTATGAAAGACTGGCAAAACAAATAATAGGTTAAGTGATAACCTAATGTTGAAGCTTGAAGTAAAACTGTTCATTATCAATGTTACAGGAGATCTAACATACTTCAGAAGACAGGTACTTAAGTGCCAAGAATGATTTTGTTTGTTTACTTGTTTCCATCATGTATGGAATTATTCAGTGACTGACTCATTACAGCCAGGCTTCTTTCTTTTCCCAGGTTCCTCAGGAATAAATTGAGAAAGATATAGCATGGGTGAAAGAAAAATAGCACTCCTGATGAGTTGAGAAGATTCTGTTGTTGACATTGGTTCCCACTGTAATACTAGCATGTGTTTTTGTATGCAACCGTTTGCATATGTGCCTAGAGTGAAGCATTTTATAAATTCAAATAAATAAAAGATGAGCAACCCTTCCTTTTAAAGAGGTTTCTATTGCTTAAAAGGCTGGAAATGTTACACTGGTAGTCACAATGGCTAATCAGATAGTACATAGAAGTTATTAGTGGTGGTGTTTTATTTGCATGCTAACAAATACTTTAGGGTCTGATCATGGCTTTACGCTAGAACAACCAAGCAGCGGCAGAAGGAAGAATCAGACACCTCACATACACCTACATGGCCTCTTCATGTCTCTGCTGCAGGTGCTGGGACTGGGGAGGGAGGAATCAGAGGCTGTGAATGTGCTACACATCTCTCCCCACCTGTGCAGGTGGGTAGAGAATGACAGGATAATCCCGCAAAGGAAGGCAGTAATCTGCTACTGGTCAGGGCCTGTAGCAGAATACTACCCATAGGGAGCAAGTTGCTACGTGCTCCTTACCCAGGGTTAGGAACAAATTCTTAATCCAGCAATTAATTAATAACCATTCAAACTTTAGCTCACTTTCTCAGCTCGAGCCACTTCAAGCTTTATTAAGGTTTCATCCATCTCTTTAATCCACTGCCTTCTATACAAAGACTCCTGGGAGATGGCATCCCATAACTCCCCAAAACTCTGTAAGAAGAAATGTAATGTCAGTCCCATTGAAAAACTAAAAATGAAAAATATGACTGCAGCAGGAGGTAGAAATAGACATTATATATACACATGGCAAGCAAAGAAAAAAAGAGAGACAAGGGCTTGAGCTAGAGAATTAGATTAAATCAAATACACTCCCTTACTGTGATTGAAAAGGCTTCCAGATCAGTGTCACTTTCAATCTTTTTGAACAGAAGTTCAATAGCTCTATCAGATTCTGACAGTTTTGTCAAAAGCAACTTTCCAGACTCCAAAATGAATGGTTCCATTTCCTAAAACAGGCAGGTATAGGAGTCAGATATTGGGTACTAGGCCTTGACACTTATGTAACACTCCAGACTACCTAGCGTCTCACCCTCCCAATGCAGGCTAACCCCTGCTGTAACACAGCCACTGCTTCATTATGACGGCCTCGTCTGCGCTCTGAGAGGCGTTCAATGATATTGCTGTTTGTCTTCTCAGGAACTGCCGAGGAAGAAAATAAAGATGATGCAGACTGGATGTGTTGCTGCAGAATGTCTAATGTAGCCACCAACGCATTATCAACATTAAGATCTCTGGGCAACAGGAAAGATCCTTACACAATACACAAGGGCACAGATTATAATAGCACTCTGCAATTATACAGCACTTTTTATCCTATGATGCCAAAACACTTTGAAGACATTTATTAAGTCTCACATTCCCTCTGTAAGGTAGGCGAATATTATCTCCATTTTCACAGATGGGGAAAATTATGCCAAAGAGCTGTTAAGTGACTTGCCAAATAGTAAAGACACAGAACAGAACCCAGGAAATATTGATGCCCATTCCCCTGCTCCAGCCTCTAGAAAACGTTGTCTTTAATTTTCACACATGAACAAGTTTTTGAGTGAAAAACTCAGAGGGAACCTTGAACCAATATTAATGCAGTATCACATAATTATCTGGAGAATATTTGCAGTGGAGAAAGGAAGGGGCCCTTGGTATACAATGGAAAGATACGGATTTTAATAGGTGACACACTAGGTGAGATATGGGAGCTCTATGATAAATATTTGCCCACTATTTTTTTAACAAAACAGTGCTAAAGTGCTTTTCATATCACAGAAAGTCTGCAAGGGTAAAGGTTAATACATATTATATTGTAAAGAATGGTTCTCTGAAAGCCAAATACTGATTTTTAATGTTTGTTATTAATATTTGTTTCTGTAATAGACAAAAGCACACAAGCTATTAAATTCACTCCTCAGATAAACAGGTGAAACTCCACTGACATCAAAGGACTTGGGCTTGCTTATATTAGGGCTGAATTTGACTCTAGGTCTATACATTCTGAATAATCAAACAAGTACAAAAATACAATAAATGTTTCTGTGATTATTCCCTCCCCTCCATCCGGGAAATTCCTAAAGTATCATAAAAAATAACAAGTTTAAGTTAGTAAAATTTACTAATGAAATCACTGAGGCCTCTGACTTCCCGGGCTGCAATCACATCTTCACTTTCTTGAGCTTTTCGAAATGTAATTTCCCTGAAATAGAAACAGAGATGAAAGCCTTGACCTATGCCATACAAGGAAAAGTAGGGATCTCCAAAAGGCATTGCTTCACATTTTGTAAATTAGATTCATTTCCAAAAAATCTAAATGACCATAAGCATCATCACAACTTTAGTGAATTTGGAGGGGCTAGTGTTTCACAGAATGAATGTTATTTTCCCAGATGAAGTGGGCCAAATTAATTAATTATCATAGCTCATTTGGTGAAAACAACCCAAAATACGATGACATAACATTAACAAATCCCAGATTTAAATACATACTAACTATAGAGGCAATCTGCAAAAAGTAAGGCAAGCTTTAGGCAAAAGTACTTGAAACTAGAACATTTTTCTGCCCTCTGACTCTTCCATTCAGTGGGGCACAATGTATTTCTCTATTTGGTTGTTCGATAAAAAGAAAACACTAGTTGGATAGACTGTTTGCATCACTTCTAAAACTATCATCTTCTTATGTTCTGCTATGAGAGCGATGACCAATTCTCAATTAGGACAGATCTGACTTCCCTCACAGATAACAGGTATTTGCCAGCAGGAACATCTCTCACGTGTTTTACAAATGCATTGGAGACAGAAACCTTTCATGGGGGGTTAAAATGTGTCAGTTTTGTTAATACAGGTATCACTTTTGTACAACTTGGATTTTAATTTTACTTCCACTTCTGGTCATGGCTATGGTCACACACTGAACAGCATATTTGTTCTCTTTCAGTGATTTTCCAGATGCGATATTCTTACTTTACAAGTTCAAAGATTATTTTGCTCATTGCAAAGTCCACCTAGGACCTGTAAATCCAACTATGATCTCTCTCCCTCTTACATCTTGACTGTTAATAGAGATTCTGCAATTAGAACTTAGCAGACACTTTGTTCAGGATGCATGACGCAGAACAGAATATTTTAATTCTTCCGAAGCTGATTTACACCAATGGTCTAACAGAAGTAGAATTTTGTTCATAGTTAATAGGTGCATCAGATTTAAAGACATACAAAACATTAATCTATTTAGCAAGGAACCCTTTTTACATAGTCACTTTTCTAAAAATAAATGCAATTTAAAGTAAGACCAATGAAAATTGTGCATAGTTCTAGACAATTTTAAACAAAAAAGTAGTACAATACCATTTAAAAATGAAAACCATAATATGCAGCCCTCTACAAACATTGAGTAATTAATCCTCACAAATCCATGTGCAGTAGGCCAGTATTACCCCTCTTTACAGCTAGGAAAACTGAGTTACATGGAAGTTGAGTAATTTGCCCAATGCTACAGAGGGAGTTATTGCCAGAACCACGATTAAAATTCAGGGAGTTCCTAGCTTTCAGTCCCATGCTCAAACCTCACTGCTCCTTTTTGACCTGAGTAGCTAGGGCCAAAATGTGGGGGTCTAGTGGGTTGTTTTGGTTAGGAGGAGAAATTGATGTTGGAGTCAGGTCTTTCTTTGATGCAATCCTGTTTATTTACAAAGAATGTACTAAGTCCTGTTTCCCTCAACACAGCAGGTGACAGTTTCTTTGCTCACAGTTCAAAGCCCCTTTCCAGCTAGCACTTAGACCAAAAGTTCTCTCGCTAGGCCTTTCTCAGGGCCACATTCCCAGTGCTTGCTCTGGCTGCATCCTTGGCTTTCTGCTATTTTTCTCCCGGCTTCTCTGCTGTTTCTTTTTCTCCTCCTCTCACAAAGACAGACACACACACTTCCACCAAACAATACCTAGTGACAGCCCTCCACCCACATGTGCCTTTGCTTTGGGTGGTGACATGTACCTTTGTTCTGGGTGGAAGCTGCTATTGTTTCAGCTGGTTCCATAAAGGAGCTTAACTGTTTCTTACGTGTATCAGTAATGAAGGTTGGCTGTGATACCCGCTAGTTTCAAAGAGGTTTAACCCAACCTATAACCATATATAATTATAAATGTATACTTCCAATCTATACCTGTACAACACTGGATTTTCAGTGAAGTCATCATTGGGCATTCCCTCAACCCATTTCTGCTGGCGATGAGATAACAGTCCTTTCCCAGCACACATTTCCAAGTCCCTAATCACAGGAATCCTTCCACTGTTCATAGGAAACTTATGTTGCTCTGCCTTGTTTCTCACTTCCTCCAGAGAGCGTACTAAGTTCACCTTCATAAAAACATAATCAAGGTGTTAAAATTCTCAGTAATCCACTGAAGGCAGAGAAGATCAAAGAAGCTGCACTGAATAAAAGTGGCTGAATAGGAGATAAAGTAATAAACAATTCTTTGCACTTATATAACATCTTTCATCCAAGGTTCTTTACAAAATGAGCAAGAACATCCCCCTTTTAACAGATGGGGAAACCGAGGCACAGAAAGGTTATGTGACTTGCTTAAGGTCACACAGCAAGTCAGTGGCAGAGTCAGGAACAGAAATTAGGCAACCCTGACTTCAAGTCCCATGCTCCAACCACTAAGCCATGCTGATTTTCCTTTTAAAAATTAGACCAGCTGTATACACTAGCCAAATCCTTCTGAGTCTGGCAAACTAAGCCTCTGAATTTATCCATCATTGCCATGTCATTAACATAGCACATTTTGGCTTTGGCAAATGCATTCTGAGGTTCAAAAGACACAGAGCAGGACCTTAAAAGGTTTGTTGATGACATTAAAATTATTTTCTGCTAAAACAAACCAAAAATCCAAAAGGTCCAAATTCATCTCTGGTCTAACTCTACTGAATTCACAACAGCAAGAACAAAACAGTAAATTTGGCTTAGACTCTGATGTTTCTGTACCTCATCGTCGAAGATCTGCCTGTAGACTTTCCCACTGGGGACAACACGTACTGCTCCCACCAGCACCATGTTGCAAAGTGCTCCGTTGTTGGCTTGTCTGCAGAACAATTTCCTTGCACCTACTTGGGGGAGGGGGCACAGAGAGAAGGAGGCATGAGAATTAAATCTTTAAAAGAACACCATCAACTTTAGAATTAGACATCGATCTGAAAAATGTGCACCTCTATATCATTATAAATATACACCACAATTACTATAACTTAAAGATGGGAAAATACTGGTGGTTTCTTTACTTTGTGCATTTGACAGGACTGCCCTGGGTGGGGATGAGACTTGCCTATCACCTAGCTATTCTGCAACACCCCACAAGGGCTATTCCAGCAGGCAAGCAAATTGGTAAATAAGCCCAATGGACTGTGATGGGATGTTAGATGGGGTGGGATCTGAGTTACTACAGAGAATTCTTTCCTGGGCCTCTGGCTGGTGAGTCTTGCCCACATGCTCAGGGTTTAACTAGGGTTACCATACGTCCGGTTTTTCCCGGACATGTCCGGCTTTTCAGCAATCAAATCCCCGTCTGGGGGGAATTGCCAAAAATCATTGGGATCCACACAGGCACAAGGATCTGCCAGGCAGAGTCACCTGCAAGATCAGGTATCAGAGGGGTAGCCGTGTTAGTCTGAATCTGTAAAAAGCAACAGAGGGTCCTGTGGCACCTTTGAGACTAACAGAAGTACTGGGAGCATAAGCTTTCTTGGGTAAGAACCTCACTTCTTCAGATGCAAGACATCTGAAGAAGTGAGGTT